AGTTAAAAGAGTTAAGTTTTCAAACCGTATTTTAAAGAGAAACTAGAAGCTTTTGGAAATAAATGTTTTAAACAGAGCAAGAATTTCTACGCAGATTTAGTAACAAAGGAGTTTATATTCCTAAAGCCAATTTCTTTTGTTTATTGGTTTTTAATGAGTATAACTTTTAAATCTGACAGCTGCACCTGTACCTACCAGGCTGTAAAATGCCCAGCTACACAGATTTGTGCCCACAATTTTTTTGTCACTTAAAAAAAATGGCAATGTGTCTGTAAAATAAGAACACACAACCAAAAAGCCTATGTAATGCAGCTCTCCATAAGTTATGACATTTTACTAGAATGTTTCATCTATAAGGGATAGGCCCCATAGCACAATGTGGGCAGGCAAGCTGGCACGTGCCCTGGATACTACCTAAGGAGAGGGGGGCCAAAACAGGGAAGGGGTTGAGGGGCTGGGGAAAAAGGGCCTCAGTCTAAGGCTACTCACTGTAGCCTACCTTACTGCCATCTGCTTGATGCCTTATCTTGCTTGTTTGCTTCTCAGCGTCAAGCAGCAGGAACCCAGCCCAAAGGATTCTGGAAATTAGTTTTGTAGAGCATCAGTGGAGTTGGCTGCTGATGGACGAAGAAAACTGGCCCCCGTTTTTTGCCACTGGATTCACACTTTTTTTTTTGTTGTCCTCTGGACATAGGCTTTGGCAGCACAAAAAAAGCAAGGGGGGGGGGGAAGAGGAAAGGGGGCAAGAGGGGCAAAAAGATTCCACCTGGAAGCAGCAAACTATTTCCACACTACAGAACTACAATTCCCAAAACGCCTTGAACTCTGCCCAGCTCTCTGCTCTGTTCCTGAACCTGGAGAAGAGCCTAGGGAGTAGAGGAAAGGGTAAGAGAGGGAAGTGAAGGAGAGGAGTTCCTCAGGGCAAATTTGCCTCTTGAATGAGTTAACATATCAAAAACCATTCCCTTGGAAGGGGGAAGACAGACAGAATGAAGCAAATCTATAAAGATCTGTAAACTTTGTAATCGCTAAATTTAAAATTTTCAAGCAACCCAGTTAAAAATATTCTGTGAAAGAAAATCATTTCCTAAAGGAATGAAACCAAGTTTATAAAAAAAGAAAAAAAAGTCACCAACCAGAACTGCTAAATTTGGCTACAGCTACAAATAATACCACAATTATCATAGAAGGTGCTAAAGCTGTAATTTTAGAGAGTATCCCCATTCAGACTGAACTGCTGAAAATCAGACAAACATCTGAAAGAATATCAAACAGGAAGTCTTCCCTGATTAAGAGAAAAACTGCATTTCCATTATTTCACACATCTTCTAGGAAGATGGATGTCTTTGTGAAATCTGGATGAAAAAGAAACCAGACCTATTCTGGAGGTCTGATGAAAAGTAATGTAAATACAAAGAGGAATAAACTATATTAAATGACTCTTTCTACTACTATAGCACGAGTATAGGAAAAATGTTTTGTTTGGTTTTTTTTTTTTTTAACTTACTATGTGGGAAGGAAAACACTGACATGGTTGGAAGACCAAATTAATTTAAAAAAATTCAGCCACGCATTATATCACCATTAAATATTTTCATGACCAACTACATAGTTACAACATTTTTGACCTGGAGGGATGTGGGCAGCGGGGTTCCGCAGGGCTCGGTCCTTGGGCCCGCACTGTTCAACATCTTCATCAGTGACTTGGACAAGGGGGTAAAAAGCACCCTGTTCAAATTTGCTGATGATACTAAGATGT